TTGAAGAATGTTTTTATGCATATGCATGGATTTTAAAAAATGCTAATAAACTTGGTTGGACAGGTAAAACAATTTTATTAGCTGGTGATAGTGCTGGTGGAAATTTAATAACAACTGTTACAATAAAAGCAATTGAAGTTGGTTTAAGAAAACCAGATGCTATTATTTGTTTTTATACACCATTTCTTCTTTGTTATAGGTAAATAATTAGAATTGTTTCAACTATCAAATACTCAAATGAAGACATTTAGCTGATGAATAATGTCAAAGAAAAAAAAATAAGAGGGTTGGGTTATAGGGAAAATGTTTGACCTAATGATATTTGACAGCAAATTATCTCTAAAGCGAAATAGCATATCAGAATGTAATAAACCAGATGTTTCTCTAATTAAGAAAACAAAGACATGATAAACATTGGACAGTGACAGAAGTCATAGCGCAATGTCGACTTACTTCTCTTTTATGAAACATGATCTAAAATGAGTGTTGAATTATATAGACTAAAAATTCGCATTCTTCAACAGACCGTAACAGATATTATACCATTAGGGATCTGTGTGTCGACATTTTTGTGGACGCATATCAATACGTTTAGTTATGCTATGTGAACTAATTCCTTCTTGCATTTCTGGAGAAGAATTGTGAAGAAATTCGTTCCAAACTATATAGAATAAAATAAACTCCTTATGATTAGGAGCCATAGCTACATTATTTTCCACTATTTTAATTTTATAAAAATTGTACTAACAGTTTCTATTTCGAATTATATAACTTTTTTATTTGAATAATATAATTTAAAAAGAAGACAAAATTTTATTGTTAATTTAGTCTATCACCATCTCGATTATTGGCTATTATGGATCCATTATTAAACACGAGTTTTCTATGGCGTTGTCTTGCCGCATATGCTGGAGTCAAATCTGATGATAAACCTCCCAATGATGATCTCTCTTCAGCAACAGCTACTGTTGATAAGAAGCATAGAAAACGACATAGACTTCGAAGTGGTAAATCATCATGTCAATTTGTACCTGAAAGCGAAAATGCATCTGACTATACACAACCTGATGTTAAAGATATTTATCATGCTCGATTAAGTCGGACAATTTTTTGATTTAAACATTGAGAAAATATCATAATTTCATTTTTTTTGTTCAGTTGAAATAATGGGTTCAAGTCAAGCAAATCTTCTTCGAAAATTACGTGAATCATCATTACTAAATCATCCACATATGTCACCTTTACTTGTTTCTGATGAAATTTTACGACAATTTCCAACAACTTATCTTATTGTACGTTTTTTATGTCTATCGCTTTAATTAACTGCTTTTTCTTCTTATTCTAATCTATTTCAATGAACTAAAAATTCTTAGTACACTAAACACGTCTCCACTTTGCGCTTAAACATTGGTTTTTTACGGTCTCGATTCCTATCATAATATTTTTTAAATAACAGATGCGTACCTTTTTTTCATTCTTAACTTCACTATATTTGGTTAATGACCTAATACTTCTACTCATTGTTTTATGTGAGCCTACATATTAAAGAATGTAATGACGTCATAACATTATCTTATATTATACATAAAACTTTGACACGATAGTAGATGTTATCATTCATCGAAAGACTAAGGAAATAGTATAGAACTAATAGGTCTAACTATAGAAATAAAGAAGATGAGTGAGAACATCATACAACTGATAGTTTCAGTGTAGAAATTTTTCTCCATTGGTTATCCCGTAGCTAGTCGATTGCTCGGTGAGTAAAGAGAAAAAATAGCAAATTTTCTCCTAAAGATAAAAGTTTAACAAGGGAACTTACTCAACTGTCGAATATCGTTTGATTTCATATTATGGTTACGATTAGGTGTCAATAAGACTAATACTACTGATAAAAAGCTATGGGCGTTTAAATGAAATTGTTACTGAAAACCAGGCATTGCTGAAAAATTCAAAACAAAGAGTTTCAATCTGAAGTTTTGCCAATGGACACATTTGATTAATCCTGAAAGCTATTTCTAAGTAGACTCGACTATAATGTCCTTCAATCCTAAATCGCTTCTTTTTTTCAATATTGGATACTTCGAGAAAGACATGTTCGTTTTCGTTGAAATCTTCAGAACTATCAAATGTATCTATAGGATGGAAACTCTTTATTTTGAATTTTTGGAAATGCTTTACCCTCAGAAAAAATATTATTCAAACATTCATAACTCTTTATGAGTAAGTTATTGACTCGAATCCTTTTAAATCTGTAATAGGTCACATCAAGACCTACTCTAAGCCATAATATGAAATCGAACAGTGTCCGACAGCTTGGATATGTTCTCTAGATGAGCTTTGGCTTGTTAGAGAAAACTTCTAATTTTTCCTTTTTATTCACAAAATTTAACACGTGATTTTTTAAAATTTTGATACAGCAAATAATGATTGTAAACGAGAATTTGATCAAATAACGAATGATATAGCACGATGATATTATATTAATGAAAAATCTTCATTATTAAATATAACAAATAATATTAACAATAATAATAACAAATTCGATTATGAATGATATAATTTTTTTTTTTATTTTAGCCATGTGCACGCGGTAAGTTAATTAATTATTATAGAATTCATTTTTTTTTTAAATAAAATTTTGTTATTTTAAAGATCCATTTATTGATGATAATGTTGAATTTGCACGTCGATTACGTTCTCTTAATGTTCCTCATCATTTAAATGTAGTCGATGAATGGCCACATGGTTTTCTTGATTTTGGTTTTGCATCAGATGATGTTGCTCAATTTAATATTCAGATTTTAAATATGCTTCAGAATATTGTTCAACAATCATATTCCAATGATACCGGTGATGCACCTTCCATACCAACTATTATTGGTTAAATTTATAGTTTTTTTTTGTATACTGAATACAAATATGTGATTGTACGCAAGTGTGAAATTATTTTTTTTTTTATTTGTTTTTGTATCATGGACATTTGCAAAGAGAAAAATACATTACATTGCTCTTGATAATATGCTATTTTAACTGAAAGCATAAAGGCTGATCGATCATCGTGTGCGAAGGTAATTCGATCCTTTTCTTTCGATTATCTACCCGATAAAATCTATGTAAACTCGAATGAATGTACGAAGTTCAGGATGCCTTACTACCAGTACGTCACAGAAACTTTTGGGTACTATACATGAGTTTTTAGCACTTAACTATAAAATATTTCTAAATGTTTAATCTACAAGTTTGTTGCAAAATTTGTTATAGAATATCATAGAAGCTATACTGGTATCTGATAAGTGCCCATAGGTCACTCAGAGATATTACTTTTCTGATGTTTTAGATACAGTGCGTACTAAAATTATTCAACAAGATTGATATTCAATTTTTTTCCATTATCGTAAGTGCTAGAGAGAATCTAAATAGTAATTCGAATAGAGAATTAAGGAATCTATTTTAAAGCCATTTTTTGATCCTCCATCAAATTTTTACATCTCAGCTAAAACGCGTCGCATAAAACTCGAAGATGTCTCGTTTTGTAGAGAATCATATCGTTCCTTGTAGTGTGTAAATCAAGTAATATTTCAAGGATGTTAGGTGCTGAAAACCTAGGATTTTGATTTTCTGGAGCTTCTATCTTCTGAAATCTGATAGTAACTTTTATTCTTTGTAGCACTTACGACAGTAGCAAAAAAAAATCCTTATTGAATAACGTTGGTATTCTTTTCATAATGTAATAATAAGACTTTTCAAGGAATGACACACAATAATTATCAGTATACTTTTTATATGAACATTATAGTTTCTACATGAGAAAAAAAAAACATATGTTCGTGCTATTCACTACTGCCATCTAGTAAAAGCGTATTGGGTTTATTTCATACTCAATCAATATTAAGAATCAATACATGATAATTAATTATCAATATGATTATGATAATGTGTAGACCTTTATAAGTTAGCTGTTTGAAAAATATTTCAACGATCAAGAAACTTTCTTTCAATCGTCTCCAATAGGCACATAGAAAGCTGTACAAACTACTTCAACTTGCTAAAATTTTCTTCTTTATCATTTGCTGCTATCTTATCTATGAGTATAGTTCATTAAATGTTAAGCAAAAATCAAACTTTTTTGTTCATGATTTCGAATGCGTCATATTGGCGTTATCTATCTTATTAGTCAATAAGTGACAAGTCATCAGCTAATGATGTCGTTCTCTTTTGAGATTATTTTTAGTTATTGTTACTAATATCTTTTCTCTTTCGTATAACTATGAACATCAAATAAATACAAAAATCATGATCTAACAATATTTTGTATTGAAAACAGAAAAAAAAATCAGACGTACGACAATTGTATTTTCCTATGCATTCTTTTTCTTTTATGTGCACATCAAGCCAATCAAAACTTTGCTGTTTCCAATCAATTAACAGTAAAACAAAAATGACAACCATTGTATTACTATCTTCAACTTAATGAGTCATAGAATTTATTATGTAAAGAAGAAAATTTTTAATAATATGAATTTATAGAGTTGGATAAAAAATAAAATATTAATCGTAGTATACTGGCATGGTTTTGTTTGATCAATGATAATAAACAGACTATTGATTTGTTAATGAAAAAGGAAAAAAAAATATTGAGATATATCGTAAGTAATCGAAATAATTAATCATCTAATTAAGAGAATATTGAAATTTATTTGTCGACAAGTCAACTAATTTTTCTATACAAATATTCATGAATACAGATTTTGGTGTTAAATACATGATACGAAAATAAATATTTCATTTAAATAAATCTAACTATTTTTATAAGCGTAAAAGCAAATTGAAGAAAGAAAAGGTGTCATATAATCGAAAGGATACGCAAGAGAGAACAAACATTTAAGTATAAAATAATACCTTTGCTGTCTTTTGTACTTGTTTACAAATTTTGCATATATCCTCAAACTATGTCTAGAAGATTATCTTCATCAAATCATAATAAGTAAGAATTTATTGTAAATGTTCAATATAATCGAAAATAACATTTACATATTTTATTTATCTGCATTTTCTTTGTCTTATCATTTGTTTTTCTCTTTTGATGATATATTATTTTTTTTTTCTTACATCTTCATTATTTTCTTTGTTATAAAAAAAATTATCGAATGTATTTATTTAGTACGCTTGACGACAAAGATCAATCATCTAAAGATGAAACAACTAATTCGATTACTAATCATCGATCAAAGGGTACAATAGCTGCTGCTAGTCGTTTCATGTCTTTTTTATCAAAAAAATCACACAAGAGTATTTCTAAAAATTCAAATAATACTAATGAAAAAGCTTCGTTATCTAAACCGCCCACCTCACACTCAAGTCCACATTTAGTAAATTCATCGTCAACAATGAATAGATCATCAACAAATCCATCCAATTTAAATAACCTATCAAGATTATCAACAACATCAACTAATTCAATAATACCAACACCAGAAACAATTGACGTTAATTTTAACTTCAATTTAACGTATACACAAATACGTGAATTAATTGATACAAATTTAAATTATTTTTCTCTACAAAAAAATGATATTTGTCAAAAATTTGAAGGTTTATTTATTCAACTTTCACATTCATTAGAATTATCTATACCATTTATTCAATATCTTATTGACAATTTTCACCATTTTGATTATAGTTCTGAAGTAAGAAAAATAAAGAATTGTTTTTCATATTCATCATCATTGTTTACTTGTTAAATAGATTCGTGCTAATGGATATCGAACATTAGTTGTATCACATGGTCATGCATGTTTACGAACATTAGATATACTTCAACAAGTTGATAGAAAACGTGTTGGTCATTTATTTAATCTCATGCATGCAGCTAAATTATTTCAAGAGCTTGAATCTTGGACAAAGGCTCTTATAGGAATGCAACATATATTAGCATTTGCTGTTAAAATTATTGATTATACAGAGAAAAGAATATTATATGTAAATGAAAATGTTTGATTAGAAGAGAAACAATGCTGTTAGTTTTTTTTTTCTCTTTATTTAGGTTGATGTTACTCAAGTACCAATGGATGTTGAACTAGATTATTTTAAAATGGTCGCTTCTGATACTGAATCTTTTTTTGGTAGAACATGTGGATTTCAAGTAAGACTAATGTTGGATACGATGAATAGCTCAGTATTACCTAAGCTAAATTCTCTAAGCAAATTTACACATAATAATAAATGAAGAATTTTCATTGTCTGTAAAAAAAAATCCTCTTTACATGATTTCGAATATAAAAAAAAAATGATCTTTCGCATCTCGGGTCAAATGTAGGGAAATACTTTATGACGATTGTTAGCTTGAAAATGATCGAACCTTGGAAGCAGAAGTGAGATGTATGGGTCCAATAGCCAGTCTTTGTCGTTTCCGATCGGAGTCCTTATAAAGTTAATCGTCCAACACAAAAAAATCGAATTTCCGTTTTCATAGTCTCGTCATTTTCTGATTAATTTTAATTTGAAAATCGGAAAGAAACAGTGGTACAAGCTTTTTTAAAGTTCCGTTTTTTTTTTCATATGGATAACGTAAGCTAGAGTTGTAACAGATAATAGTAAACGGTCAGTATGAAGTTTTATTTCGATGCCAGAAAATTCATCAAATTGTGCTATTTAGTCAAAACTTATCATAATATATACTTATTTTATCGATTCGCTTTCATATCGAGTTATAATATCAATACAAAATTGAATAACTGTTTAGTATTGTAATTTATCATAAATATATTTATATTTCTTTTACCCTTTCTAGAATGCATTTTACAGAGACATACGAGATAGCAACGCGAGTATTATATGGACAGCAGATTTAATATTATGAAGTTTTTGGTTCATCAATATATACCAAGAGAGAAAAAACTGATCTAAATAAATATTAAAAAGCACTAAAACAGACTGATATATCATTATTGTTGTTATTAGGACGTAAATATAATTATGTGAAGCATTTATTTGACCCAATAAGGTCAAAAAACATAAAGAATGACTCATGCCGATATACCGACTGGATTGATCTGTCAGTTTCTACCGATGTAGGTACCGGCAAGGAAAAGTCTCCTAGTTGTTTCAACTCTCACGTAAGCAATTGCTACTATCATGCAACTAGAATAATAAACAATCTCCATGAGTAAAATCAATTGAGTATCATTTAGCTTCTGTTTTTTTTTTATTCTATTCGATGATAGCTGCAAATTATCTGCGAAACGATATGTATTTTTCTTATTTGTCAATAGATGAAATTCTTTTCATGATGCCAACAATAATATTGAAGAGTGATGTTTGCTTACCTTATTCGTATGAAGAATAAAACTTGTGAATAAAATTCTACCATTAACAAAAGAAAACTATTTCATTTCATTGAACTGACACGTAGATATTTGAATTTCTAATTATAATGCTATTCATAGTTCGCCATGTTATATGATTCAAATCATTCCTTAGTGACGTGACTTTGTAAAATTAAAACACGTTTATCTCGAGATGATGAACTTTTCTACAGCTAGTTTTTATATTTCACTTGGACGTTAAGTTACTTTAGATACTCTGAAAAAATTAGTGGTATCGACAATTACTCAGAGAATCGATCTTGCGAAATTTTTTATCGAAGAAACGGTACCTGCCATTGAAGCTATCCTAAAGATTTCAGATTTTTTTCTCATATGATTATAGAGATATTCTTTCATTACTTTTTAATTAATAGTCAGCTGAATGAACCAATATTTTTACGCATGTCAGTGCTAAAAGAATTTACTTAGACAACTAATCATTATAAAAAATCAAAATTAAATGAGAGGTGGGTATGAAACATTTAAAAACTCGATATGAATCTTCATTTTATTTCTTTAAACACTGAAAATCTTCAATGATTTTGTTTTTCTTTTATTTGAGTTTGCTGAATCTGTGGGCAAACTGCTTACTTTTATATTAGCTGGTTTAGCAGCTTATTATAAGACATATAATCGATCAATACCATTTGCAGCAGCTAGTGTTGCAACTGCACCAAAATATATTCTATTTCCTGAACAACGAGCAACAAAGGTTCAGTGTTTATTTTACAAAA